TTACAAATATCATAAAATGCCCTATTCTTTATTATTTTAATTTAAGCAATAAAAATATATATAACGAACGTTCGCCAGTTGACTTTATTGATGCCCGAGCGCCTTAGTACATTTCTTGTTGTAATAAGGCACGTGGTCTAATTCTGAGTCAATGTTTTCACAACGTGCTTATTAGAAGAATTATGCGGATACGCCACGCCTTTCGCGCATTTCGCGACTCATGACATTTTGAAACTACTCTACAACTATGTAACAAAAAGTTGAGAATATCAGAAGTGTGTTAAGAAAACTTTATTTTCGGTTAAGAATTTCATTTCCGTGTCAATCCTCCTTCCATCTAGCCATAAAGGAGCGCAAACTGAATCTAATACAGCTTATTTTGCCGGCAGCTAGGATTTCTCCAGAAACTAGATAAAGAATTGTAGCGTTTTATTTTAACCCTAGTGCAATTTGGACGGGATATTGTTCAGTGAATCCTATACTGTGTTACTAAATGGAATTGGTCGTAAAAGAAAACATGGACAAACGAAATGTAGTTGAATTTGAGGTTGGAGTTAACTATGGGTATGACAAAGAGTCTCATCTTTCCATGTCACTTTTTATTTTACTACTAAAACTTGGCAAGGGCAGTTTTCGGTAGATAGTGCATGAAGTCTGTTGATTTAATAAGATTATAGCAGCTCATAAATTATAAATTTGTAGATAGCTGAATTTGAATTAGATTAAATAACTATATTGTAATAATATATAGAATAAACATAAATAAGGCAAATCGTGACACTTATTTTTAGAGGATGTTTAACTATTTATTATTTGCTGTGGCCACAGATATAGTGTAAATGAATCAGATGTTACTCCGTTTTTCCAGCGGCTCTCAATATGTCTATACCCTTTATTGAGTAAGGCCAGTATTTATTTATTTTTACTTACTTATTTATTATTTATTTATTTTTACTTACTTATTAGTCCAACCAAGTTACACTTGGAGAAAAAAAATTGTTACTTGGACTTTTGTAAGTGGAAGTGGTAAAGGGGCTTATAATAAACGTAAAAAAAATAAATGCGTGAGTAGGGGTGGCGGAGAGTTGATTTGGATGGTTGACAAGTTGTGAAAATATGTATCATTGAGATTTCTGGCGAAAGTTGACGTCAAACAGAAAAGTATACAATACAACAGTTGTAGATCATGGAAAAATCTACAACTTTTGTAGAGGTCACTTTTTAAGATAACTTCAAAATTTCCGAGAAAAATGCGAAAAACTGTGATTTTTATTTTTCGTTTTTTATCTCATTTCCGCAAAAATAATTTAATTTTGACAAAACTTGGTGAAAGTATACCTTTCTGTGTCTTAAATAACCACAAATTTTTTTAGATAAAAAAATCAAGAAGTTTCCGAGATATTCATTTTTTCCGGACTGAAACACTTTTCAAAGAAAAATCTACTTACAAAAATCATCGTACAGAGTTCTGCAGGTGATCATTTCTTTTGTTTTGACATATACTTTTTGGTGATGGTAATTAAAATTAAAAAAAATTATTGAACTGACTAAATAATTAATAGATGCATATATCATACTGAATAAGACTAGACTTCATGCTGCATCCGGAAGAAATGGAATGAAGCTTTAAATTTTTTGAAAAAATATTTCTTACAAACTTAATGCAAAACACCTTTACCAATTGAAAAGTTCTTATACATAGCCTTCAATTCTTAAGGATAAAACATTTACATAACTACACTATTTATTTAATAATCTATACCTACCATTCTTTCCACCTGCAGGAAGAAGATTAAATTAAGCAATAGGTAGATATGAACCTTAATGTGCTGTATTCTTTAAATCCTGTTGGTATACTCTAACTCAAATATACTTCAAAAATTCCCTTCTCATCATTATTATTTTTAATGCACTCTATTCCTCCTCCATTTGCACCTGTTTTAGCTGAACACCCTGTACCACTACTGTTACCAGTACGTATGCTTACTTATATGTACTAGATGTAGCTTTCTCCTTATATGGCTAAATATTTTACTGAAATGTGCGATTATGTGAAAATGTCGTTGAGTGAGAATAGTTCAAATATTAAAAGAGTCAGGTAAGTGACAAACCAAATGTAAGAAAGTGAATACTTCAGTACGCGCTGCAAAATGTGCTAGTTCCGTTGTACAGTGAGATGTAATGAAAGTATCCCATGTGAACTATTCTCGCTCATGGTGTGCTCATACTCAAAACTATTGTTATTGTAATGCATTTTTACTTTAATAAAATATTGCTTAACAATTGAAAATTGGAAAAGAACAGTGAAAACCTTAAAAAACATATACGTCTTAGTTGTTCAGCTTCTAAATACGCTGTAGGTATGGCAGGAGTGATGAATTGCAACGGTGCTCAGTATGTGTGGTACGAGTATAAGAATGTATGGAAAACGTATAGATACGAAAGTACAACCCAACAATGTTGTGTCTAACGCATATTAAAGACCTCATCTATACCGAACATACCAATATATTACGCCAAACATACTAACGCATACGCCATCCGCCATATGCAGCTTACAGTGTCTATAGGAAAAGAATAGGGAATGAAAAATGTATAGTTACAGTATTACATTGCTTCAAACGGAATATGTTGCAATGTTCAATATAGTAAATTATATAGAATATTATTCATCGCTTTTTAAGCAATATTTCTAAAATGATATGACAGTATGGGAGGATTCCTTACGAATACACCAGAGCAAACTTATATTCCTTAAATAAAACACCAAATTTGTTTAATTATGGATCAAAAAAAGTTAAGAATGTTGGATGGGTCCATCTCTAACTGTGAAATATGAATATTTTCCTTAAAAATACATATCCACTGTCTACCTATGCAAGTTATGTCGAAATATAGACGGTGTTCTATTTAAAAAGTATATTATTGTATAGATTTCTATAGATTTCTATATTTCAATACAAATAATAGCCCAGGGAAATTATCATTTGACCAAAACAAAATTCTCTCACAGCCGAATTTCTGCACAGACGTTCTTTGGGGTCGCAAACCCAAATCCACAAATATCCCAACATGACTAACCAAGAAATGGAAAGTCAAAGTGTTTTGAAAATATTCAATGTTCAATGCATCGGACATCCACATGGTCACTATAAAAGTTGTCGATAATTTCATTATCTATAAAATTGGTATCTCACATTTTTCCTCAAAATCTTGTCCTTTTCAAGGTCAAAATTCCAAAGGAAACGGTTTTTCGTGAAGAAATATACCTGGATTATCGATCTGATTGGACTGATTTTAATTTCCCGACTGGATAATATAATGCAGCCTGAATTCTTGCATTAGGCCTATTCCATATGACGTCCAACGCATTGGACACGTCCAAAATCTTGTTTTTACAACTTTGACCTTCAATATCTCAAAAAAGGCGAGGTTTTGGGAAAAATTGCAATTATTATGGATGACCGATGCATAAAACACGAGATATATTATGCAAAAAACTTTTACTTCAATATCTTGGATAGCCATGTTGTGATTTTTGCGGACTTTGGTTTGGGACACCTCAAAGAAAGTCTGTGCAAAAATTCAGCTTGTGATAACCTGTCAAACTTTTACATTTTTGAAAAATTAACATGTTGTTGCAAAATGAAACATTTTTAAATACAGTGTTCTTTAATTTCACTACCAAACTTCTACAGCTGCACTCAAGCGACCAAATTGAATATAACCTCTTCAAAATATATATATTTTTAAATATTTTCCAACCGATTGGAATATAGGTACCAAATTTAGTTCTTGGCTATTTACCCATATAACTTGCACATTTTTATAATGAGTCCTAAAAAATTGAGGTGCATAGAACCCACTTTATCATAGTTGCATTAATAAAGAAAATTTCAATTTCTTTTTGTGTCTTCAAAAATGTTAATTTTGATTGTATATAGTAGTAAATGATGGTAGTTACTACAATTATTATTATCCTTGCAAAATTTTAATAGTGGACACTATTTACATATAAAATTAAAAAAATATCTCATCATGTAACAATTATTATTACCGAAAAAAATACATCAAAAACAATTGCGATGTTAGTCCTCAGTGAAGATGACTATTTTAGATTTCTAACGAGTATATATAGTAAAATAAAAAAATAAAATATTGTATTTACTGTATTGTTTTACATATTACATGCAATGCATTTAATATTTAGAAAAAATCAATTGCATATAGAAAATAAAGTATTAAATCAATATTATCATAAATTCAGTAAAAACCGAAAAAAAAGGCAAAGTTTGAACGACCATATCTCAGTCTATTATTAATTTATCGAAAAAACTTTTATAACCCATCATTTTGTAGGAAATTTTATATACGTTTTTATGAACTAGGACCTATACCAATTTCTGCTCAGAAAAAAATTTATATGCATAAAAGTAAAAAAAAAAATAAAAATTTGAAATTTTTGCATTTTTTGTTTTTGATATATTTTGCAGTAAATAAATTTTTAAAATTTTTTACATAAGCTATTTCGATAGAAAATCTCATTATCTACAAAATTTTTCCTATGCAATACTCTCAAATTTTGCTTCATTTTCGAGATATACTCAAAAAAACTGTAAGGATTGCATTTTCACCCCTATCTCCAATTTCCACCCTCGAATTTAATAGCACTCCGCGGTTTTTTCACTCTAAATTATCATTTGATCGATTCATGGAATAAAAACCCATCAACGTTGTAGTTCCATACCATATGACATAATCAATAGCCTATTAGGAGATAAAAAAAAACTTTGTTAGTAGGTCACTTTAAGTTTGACAGTATGTTTTATTTTTTGCGTGATAATATGAAGTAAATGCAAGTTGAAAATTATTTTAAATTATTTATTTACGTGACGCCCTTTTCTTGCCCCCTATAAAAATACATCAGTTTGAAGTATGAGCACACAGGCAGCTATCAATGGTAAACAAACTTTTTTTAACTCACCTTATTTTTCGTCTAGGAAAAATGGATCGGCGGCGACAAGAGAATTGCTCAAGGGTGACCCCGACGCTCACAATTTCCAGGAATATACGTATAAGAAAATCACGCCGTGCGACGTTTGTTCCCAAGTGCTGAGAGGTAAGAAAATCGAATTAAAAAGTTTTTCTTTTATTTGATTTAAGACATTCGCTAGAGTCAAAAAAGTAAAGGAACCTGTAAATCAAATTACATTTCATACATAAGGAAGTATCTCTGTTTTATAATTCGAAAGATGTAAAAAAGTATTGTAAGTTAAATCAAATAATAAATAAATAAATAAAAGTTATAACCTGACACAAGGCTATACTTACTAGGCATTCAATGTCAGTTCTGCTGATCGTAAAAGTTTGTATAAATTATGTAAAAATATCTTACCTAAAAATAAAAATGTTGGGGTTATGGTCACATCTAACAAAAAATGATTATATGTATAGCTTACAGTGTCTATAGGAAAGGAATAGGGAATGAAAAATGTATAGTTACAGTATTACATTGCTTCAAACGGAATATGTTGCAATGTTCAATATAGTAATTGAAGTTATATTACATTCAACGACTACATAGCTGGACAACTGTAGTCTCTAGCGTCATTTGTAATGCGCGTGGAGAGCCACGTGACCTCAGCGACTCCGAATACTGAAATCGTATTTTGCAATCGTCGTTGCAACAGTATTTACCTGTTATCTGTTGTGTTTACAATATTTTTTTAGTAGTTAGTGTCAAAAATGGATAGTTAGTGTCAAAAATGGTTTGCGTGTATAGCAACTCGGAGTTGATGGATATCGTTTTAATTTATGGTGAAGCATTTGTGTTATCGTGAAGCTTACAACATTTGTGTTAGTTCCTAGAAACTGAGTAAGACGGACCCAAATGTGTTTACACGTTGGTGGATTTTGAACAATTGTTGTAAAATTGGGTATGTCAAATGATTTTATTATTTAAAAACACAAATTAATTGTATTAATTAATAAAGGCAAAAGCAGTTGAATTTACCTATATAAAATAGGTGCGATAAAATTCTATTTACATATTTCTTTCCTTGCGAAAGTTTTTGTCCGTTTTTATCACACAGTCATGCCGGTCGCATTGTGCGAGGTCAGGTTTTACAGTGAACCAGTTTCTAGTGCCGTGCAGAAGTGTATTTTTAAATCATTTTCGAACTGCCCTTTTTTTGGATAAGTTCTGAATCACCCTGTATGTATGTTATACAGCTTCAGAAGAGTTCTAAAACCGCCAATCTCCGAGCTGTGAAAAGCTGTGAAATTTAAATATGTCTGAACTAGTTGCCTTCATATAAAATTCGGATAAAACCAACCAATGGCGTCAGAATTAGGATATAACTGAAAAGCTATAACTGTCAAAAAACGTTATTTATGCATCTTGAACTTAGGAGCATTATTAACAGTGGAGTATACGTGAAAATCAGAATAACTTAATGTTTTGTACAAATTTCGCTTCTTCTAATCTTCTGTAACCTCAGGTGTTATTTCTTCATTTATCTATCTACCATTATGACCAGTATCATAACGATATTAATTTGCAAAATAGTTTACTATTAACGTCTCGAAAAGGAGTTTATAATTATCATTACGCTTTAATTAATACGTGGGAACTTAGAAATGTTGTACGTTCAGAGAATGAATACCAGGCACCTACCGTATGTCGCTCATGTACAAGGTAATCCAGTGGTTGGTTGTATTTATAGGATGACACTTGAGTTGGAAGGACAAGAAAACACCAAAACTTTCCAGGAAGAGTTTTAATAACAATAAAAACAAAACAAACAAAATATCGACACAACGGCCTCGAAAAATTAATTTATTGACACGCGACAGTGTACCGAGATTCAGGGAATGCGCGATATATAGCAAAATTTGGAATGACTTTATCCATTATTAAATTTAATTAATTAGCCCGAGACTCTAAAACTAAGTAGACTGCTCAATGTGGAACCCAAGGAAAAACTAGCTTTTATTCGACACCTCGCTTCGACACGCCCATTTCTTGGGTCCAGACGTTTCTGTTCTTATCTTACTGGCGGGAACCCTGAATATAGGGACGCTTTGGCATAACTATGCCATGTTAATAGTTATCTAATGGACTGAATTTACGTTTATATAAATAATTCTGTGACTAACTAGACTTACAAGTAACCCTAGCCTTCCTCTAGTGACTCCGTGTAGCAATACGAAACGGATTAGTCAATCTCATTTAATCTATTCTTATAGCTTGGAAAATCCGCCTAAAAACCAGCTACTTGATCTATTATTATCTTTCTAACAACTTCTAACAACTTATTCTTGGAATTTCTAGGTTCTTTGGAATGCATTTCGCGCGTTATTTGAAATATATATTTTCTCTTTATACCAGATGCTCAACACATGGCCCCGACGGTCTAAGTGAACTTGTTAAAAAATATTGTTAAATTTCATGAGGCTTTCTACGAAGGACGGCCTTGTGGCGACGCTAAACCTACTTGAAAACTCTTAACTTTTCGATAATTAGTGCTGACTGAAATATTTTACTTTTTGGCCCATCCGTTCCGAGAACTAAAAATAAATTACCACGCGTCCCAGCTTTTGTTACACTTCTCATTGTCTTTTAAAAATATGTATTTTTTCACAATTAAGTACCACATTGATAAATTGAATTAAAAAATTATTGATCTATGGATTCGTTACTGACGAGCTGCCAGAGATGTCATGGTTTCTTAGGTTGTCCTTGAACCTTGAACCGTACATGCAACAAAAAAAAGCTTAAGAGACACACACATTTTGATTAGAAATAGTTTATTCACACTTGTAGAGCAAGATTCTCATCATTGTTTTTAAAGGTTCTAAAGTCCTTATGAGATGTTTTAGGGAAATAAATTACTCTTCCTTATTTTTATTTCCTTAGATGGTTAACCCTGAAAGTTTGTTGCAACATCGCTTTTACGCCCTGTATAGGCTGTTAGGTTTGGAAATTTTGTATTATCCACAATTGCATTATTATTGTATGACACAAATTTCGCTCACTTTTTCTATAATTTTATACCGATCTTGAAAACGATATAATATCCATATTCCATATTGTTCCCTTTTGGAATATAAGCCGACTTGGATCCTGTGGAAATCTTTCACGAACCTTTTTTATCGGGATCGTTTGCAGATTCATTTCCTTTAGTGCCTTTATATCCTAGGATCGAACAGAGTTTTTCCGTGTTGGTACTTGATAGTTTAATTGCAATTTGCCTGTAGTCACAAGATTTCAACGTTTAGATCAAGAGTTTGGCCACGAGGTGATATGTAAATGTATTTCCAAGGTAACTCAAATATTTAAAATATTATATGGAAGAAAATAGATATTTAAATAAATATTTACTTAAAAATGGAAAATCTAAAGAAAAACTATACTCGCAATAACTAGTAAATAGCTGGTATCATTGGTCAGCAGAACCATCGGACATGTACCGGTTTAAAATTTATTAATTCTCATCAGAGTGATATATGTTAAATATTGTTTCGCCTGGTGAAGACACAGGTCTTGCTCTCATTCTCGTAGTATCTGCGAAATAGCAGGTCACCCTTTGTCAGTCCAAGGCCTAGGCAATGAAAATATTTATTGTGCATAGTTACAATGGCAATATACAACCTACACACAAAAGCACTAGACACAGATAACTGATGATTAGCCTACCCCTCAGAAAGTCAATTAATTTACACATATTAAAAGCAATATGATTATAAAGAGTTATTAAAACACTGTAAAAAACAATATCTTATAAATATACATAGACGACACTCATAATGCTTGTGCAACACACATACAAATACGTAGTATAGTCAGACACACACTCATACATACACGCATATTATATTAATACAAGTCAAAAACTAAAAACTAAAACTAAAAAACAGCAGCATTTGTGGAGTTATCGTTTTCCATGACCAACTCACGAATGCGTTTCTTAATCAGAGGTGCATTACGGAGTGTTAAGTCCTGAGGCACCAGTACATTATGTAAGGGAACCATTAAACCATTCGAAAGTGAACAAAATTGTTCAAAGATTGCCCAAAAATATACAGGGTGTTCCATTTTAAAAAATAAGTTAAGATGGTTTAAAGTTGATTAAGTTCGGCATTAAATTTCTACCACCCTGTACGAAAGTAAGTCATTTTGAAATTATGACAGGGAAGCTTAGCGTATTAGTTATGTCTCCTATAAATTTTACAGCTCTAACTTTATTATTGCAAAATACACATCTTTTTGAATTAGGCAGTGCTTTTTTAATTAAAAAAAAAAATAAATATATCAAAAACGGTTAACATTAAGAATAGGAAACCTTTATGAAAATTCACCTAAAAATTGACGTAGAATCCAAAATTGCAATAATATATAGGGTGTTCCATTTAAAATACAATGTCGTCAACTTCCAGAAGCGTTAGGTGGACGTCATTATTTTAGTTGAGAAGGGCATGCCCGAAAACAGTATTGCCAATATTTTCAAAATTAAAATCGAAGTGGTCTCTGAAATATGTCTAATGTCTCGTCGCCGTGGAACACCCTGTATGGATGTACCAGTTTGTTATATTTCACCCATAGAAGGTGTGAAAAATCATTTTTTTATTTCTTTCTTAAAAGATGCCTGGATAATCGCCTTGTTAATTCCTCTATTTCAACTTCAAGTAGGAACTGGAAAATCGAATAGTTATCTCTTTTATCCAGGCAAGAAAGGCATCAAATATTACATTACTATTATTTTTAGGACACACCCGTCAGGGACTGAAGTGTCGAATATGCAAGATGAACGTGCATTTGGATTGCCAAGACAAAGCCTCAAAATGCCAGACCAAAGCCAGGCTGCTGAGGCGACAGAAATCCACTTCTGAGATTGAAACTAGGGTGCCAGAAACAAACATCGAAGACGAAAGTAAGTATTTTATTTACAAAGTTTACATATTTTCTCTTCAACTTTCTTTATACTAGTATGTATTACTTGAAGCTTACGGCTTTGGTACGTTACTAAAAGTAGAAGTGATAGTATCACATTATTCAGCAATTTTTTTAAATACTGTAAATATATAATTTTTTCCTATCATGAAATAGCTTGTGCACGCAGAAAATGACAATTAACCATTAAAACACTTACCACAAACGAATATAACTAATTTATCTTTGGAAAAATTAAGATACTATAGGCACGGTGAAGGTAAATCACATACCTATGTTCATACAGGATGTTAATTAACTACGTCAACAAATTTTAGAAGGTGAGGCTTTGAGTGATTTTAAACTAAATAGATGATATAAACAAGGATCTGCAAATAGACAGTTTTCAAAATACAGTAGATATGTTGAAATCTGAAAAAAAATCACTTTTTCTAAAATATCTCTGAGAGCCTTTGATATAAAAGACGAAACATAATTTATTTTGGATTTTCACCTTAATCTAGATAAGTCATTAGTCTAACTTTCATTGATCTACATCAAACGTCTTCAACGATATTTTAGAACAAGTGTTTTTAAATTTCTTAAATTTCAACCTCTGTATAGCACATATTGATTTGTGGATTTTTTTTTGTTTATACAACTTTCTGCCTTAAAGTCACTCAACGAATCGTCCCTTATGTACGTATGTACGTATGTAACACTTTATATGTTGGTTCTCGAAACAGAACTGGGTTAATTATTTTAATTGCAGTAGCTTAGGCAAGGAGGTTTTTAATGTCGCAACCCTTAAACCCTCGCCCATTCCCGATAGGTTTCCCTTGCAAAAACAAATATCATCGCCTTGCACAGGATTAGAATCATTTAATGGAAATTACAAAAATTTGTAAAGTGATACAAATTGAGTTGAGTAAAATTATGCCACAACTTTTCCTGAAGTGACCTGAAAACTAATGCTTGAAATATAATTAAAATGCAAGAATTGTTATTTTATTTTACCCTTTAACTCATTGACTTATAACGATGATTTAATGAAATTTAGTTTATAGGTATAGGACCCTACTGACTATGTATAACGGTGAAGTCTAATTTCTATATATTGTTTTCGAGATGCGAAAGTGAACTTTTTGCTTACAGACCCCATATAGATCTTTCATATAGTTAATATCTCCAGTTAAATAATGAAGAAAAACGCAACATTATCGATATTTTTTTCTTACTTTAGTAGAGTTACATTTAAATATAATTTAAAGAATGTTCTATCCCATCTCAAAAAACAGAAATCTAGAGAAAGTCTCCATTGTAATTAGTAGGGTCTTTAGTCTAGAAACCAAATTTCATTAAACTACTTTTATAAACAAATTATGTCACAGGAAAAAATAAAAATTTTCCGGTATTTCATAATGTTCTGTACCAGGGACTAATTGCAGATTTACTTTAAAGAAAAGTGTCAGCAAAATACTGTGCAATTTTTGTAATGTAAGTCATCCTGTTATCTTAAATAGTTTTCGATATCTTTATAACCATTTAATAGTTCTGACTCAAATTATCTGACTTTTTGCCGTTAAATTACACTTCTCCAAAAACGATTACAAGTTTCTAGTACCAACTAAAAATCACAATAGCGGTGGAAGGACCAAATAGTCGTTGGAAAATAATTGAAATACTTGTCATTACTGAATACGAACGTCAGTCGTATAACTTTTGGTAGTTGGTATGTTGGTATGTTGCTAATTTACGAGTCACAAAAAAAATCAAGAAGAGCTGCAGAGTTATTTCGAGAAAAGTATCCAGAGCGCCTCATTCCTGATCATAGAACTTTTACAAGATTGGAAGCGATCTTGCGACGAAATGAAGATGCATTTTCTGTTTGGAAAAATCAAATAATTGACCGAAGTGTAGGAAATAATGTTAATACAGCTAGACTGTTACAGTATTTCGAACAAAATGCACGAAATTCTATACGGTAGGCTAGCCGGGAATTGAGTTTGGATAAATCAGCCGTACAACGAATTTTAAAGATCAATGGCTATCATGATTACAAATTTCTCAATTTAGAGTATTTGCCTGAACGTCACATTAAAAACAGACTTAATTTTATAGCTCAAATTGTAGTAAATGTAGATAGAACTGTTGATCAGAACCTTTTTCGGCACGTTCTTTGGACGGACGAAAGTCGGTTTGTAAGTCGGTTTACCAAACAGGCGCAACGAACACTACTGGTCCATTGAAAATTCCCACATTGTAACTCCAGTCCAAAACCAAGACTATTTTGTAGTAAATGTATAGTGCGGCATCATTGGTAGGCATTTCATCGGGCCTTAGTTTTATGAACATATATTGAACAGCGTGAATTACCTAAATTTCCTACAAGAAGAACTTCATGAACTTCTGGAGAATGTGCCTTTGCAGCTAAGGAGAAACCTATGGTTTCAGCACGACGGGGCTCCACCCCACAAGGCCAGCATTGTGCAGCAATATTTAGATAACACTTTCCCATTGGGCTTAATTGACCTATTTAGTGGCCCGGAGTCACCAGATCTAACACCCCTCGAATTTTTTTATGCGTGGTTTTTAAAAATTAGGTTTACAAAATACCTTCATCACAAACGCTTGTAATGAGTTAAACGGCGAAATGTTAATAAATAGACCTGGCAATAAAGAACGATTTACCCCAAAATATCTAAATTTTCGCGGCCCGGTCCGATTTTAATGCGGTTTTTTGCATTTTGTTCAGAAAGACCGTCGGACAAAAGTCCCGCCTTTTTTATTATCCGGAAGTGGCGGAAATGCATCGCGGGTGCATAAAGTGCATCTAGAAGTGCATCGCATACGAGAAACTTGCCAAAGTGCACGAAATACCGCAAAAATTGGTACTCGGGGGTTTTGGGGGGCGCAGAATTCGAATATGCATATATCCAGTCCACCCGACCCCCCGGGGGGCGACTTCCGGCCGCCTGGGGGGCGCGGGGGGCACGTGGATTGCAAGGTTCTCCGAATGACTGGAAAAATGGATCTCGGGAGTTTTCGCGGGTGCTGATTCCGAATTCGAAAGTGAAAAATTTTCCCTTGTGCTCGTGGAGGGGGCGGTGGGCGGGGGGGTATGAAATCTAAAATTCTCGAAATGACTAGGAAAATGTATCTCGGGGGTTTTCGCGGGTGCTGATTCCGAATCTGAGGGTGAAAAATATCCCCTATGCTCGTGGAGGAAGAGGAAGAGGAGGAAGATAATTTTGATTGGTATTTATAGTTGTTTATTATAGTTGTTTGATAAATGAGCCCGTGTGACAATTAATACAGAAGGAATGTGCATTGAATATATTTTAAGACAATATATATTTTAAAATAATAATTATACTTTTATACTTTAGAACAGTAAATATATTTAAAAAAATTACCAGGCTTATCCTTTCTTTTTCCAACAGAACTTTTTAGATTGAATGATTTTCTATTAATTTATATTCATCCTTCTTAGAAGATTAACGCCCTTCCCCAAAATAATCAGAAATAGTCATCGGACGCATTTGGCCCCCCAAAACCCCCGAGTACCAATTTTTGCGGTATTTCGTGCACTTTGGCAAGTTTCTCGGATGCGATGCACTTCTAGATGCACTTTATGCACCCGCGATGCATTTCCGCCACTTCCGGATAATAAAAAAGGCGGGACTTTTTTCCGACGGTCTTTCTGAACAAAATGCAAAAAACCGCATTAAAATCGGACCGGGCCGCGAAAATTTAGATATTTTTCTTTTTATTGCCTGGTCCAAAACCCAGCCCACAAAGAAGTCAGGCGAAGATTGGATATGTGTCTTGAAATGAGGGGAGGTCATATACGGAATAGACTGTAATATGTATGTAGTATGAAAGCGTTTGTATCGTTTGTTTTAACTGTATTAAGGAATTATCGAGTTTAATCCTTTTATTTATTTTTAATGACGTTTATGCACTTTAAACAACAGACAATCAATTATTTTCCAACGACTACTTGATCCTTCCACTGCTAATACTGCTATTTTTAGGTGGTATTTCTTTTGAGACTCTTTAGGACGATAATACTTATAACTTTTAAACGGGAAGTAATACAGTAATACAGGAAAATTTCTCTAGTAAAAGTTTATTTGAAATAAGAGAGTTTTTTAATAGGAGAAAAATTTGGGTATGTTTCTGGAAAAAATATAATTGATGACGTCATTAGTCGTTTCTGTCAAATCCCAAAGAAAATACGTTCCATTGAAAGCTTACCTCGTCCCATTTAACACCACTTGTACCAAATCCATTTTATTTAAATTTTTTGTATCCTCACAATAAGCTCATATTATCGAGTTTGTGACACCATGTACATACAGTCTGCATTTTACATTGAGTTGTAGTTTTTTTTACAATGAACGAATTATGACATGGATTGAAACGAATTTACACATGTAAAAAATTATACGAAAAGGAAATACACGCACCATCTATCACGCTGAAGGGGAGAAAAGTTACTTTCCATATATTTGAATTTTGATTGTGTAGTACCTCTCTACCCTTTGCAGGCAGTGGCAGATCCCTAGTTTGGGAAAAACCCCAAATTCCTTCAATTTGCACCTTCACTGTCCTTTTTTAATATTAAAATGACTTTTATTCAGCAAAGACGCGTAACATTTGGTTATTTTGCTTCCACACGATAACATATTCACAGAAAATGCTTCTCTGGAAAAGATATTTGCAAAGCCAGATGTCTGTATATTTTGATTTGCAAATGACTTCCATCCCTCCAAACATTTTCATTGTGGTAAAATACTTAGGCCTAGATCGCGAACTCCTACGCCCGTATTTGAATATTTTAGATTACGGAGTTGACGAACATTAATATTATTTTGAAATTTTAATGTTTTACATATTCTACTTTTAGTAACGTGTCCTTATTGCTGGATAGTTTACTTTGTTCTTGCTTTCTATTATTTTTCACTATTTCTATCGTCTGTAGGGATAGCTGAAGTC